AGTAATTAATTAATTAATTAAAATTAGTTACATATCAATAATATTAAAATAAAGATCAATTTTTGCACTAATTTTATGTAAAATAATTACAAAAAGGGATAATTCCTAAAAACAAAAGGTTTTTTTAAAACACTAATGACGGGGTAGGGTGGATTAGGAATTTACTTCCAAAAAAAGTCGCAAAATATTAAATTATCCCAAATTAGTACCTCGCACTCCCAAATTTGCCCCTATTCCCAAGTTAAATTTAACAACATTTGCCATTTCCTCAAAAAAAAAAAAAGATCAATTCGATAACATAGATAACCGGAGCTTAACACAGACCCAATTTTCCATCATTAACCTTATATAGCCTTTAAAATATTCCAATTTTCCATCCAAAACTCTCCAGAAAATTGATGTAGTATATCAATTCTAGTTTGTCATTCCCTCCTCCAGTCATATAGCTTTGATTGACTGGCTTTGTTGAAAATTTTCCAGAAGCTTGCTTCGGTACCACCATAATTGGGTATGCTAATGCTTAAAACTTTGTCGGGCGCAAGTTCTCTGCTCCCTGGTGTGACTCCATTGCTCCGGCCTCGAAACGTTTCTGCAGGGCAACCAACATTTTTTTGGCAGGATGGGCAACCAGTATTTTTTTTTTTTCTTTTTTATCTTTTCGTTGGATGAGAGATAGCGTCTCTCATCTCTAATCTCAGTTTACCTGAATGTCATGGTATTCGAAATTAAAATTTCATATTGTACTTAAGTCATCGGTCATGTTTCTCCTTTTTGTTGAGTAGAAATGATAAAATTTTAAACATAATAAAGTAAACAAATTTGAGAGATTAATATGAATTTATATTTTTGAATGGCATGTTAAATCGAGTCTTATGTTCAGATAAGAAGTGATATGAAAATAAAAATAAATTAAAAAAAAAACTATTTCTTCTTAGTAAATCATAATCAAATATATATATATAAAATAATAATAATAGCATGTTGAAATTTTGGAAAGGCAAGGTTAATGCTAACCAACAATTTAAGGATAGTAATGAGGAGAAGGGCATATTTGAAATGACAATGTACTAATTTAGAATAATTTAAAATTTTAGGACTTTTTTTTAGAATTAAATTTCTAACTAACCCTATCCGATCATTAATTTTTTAAAACCATTAGAAATTAAATCAAATTATCCTTTGCAAAAATATGTATTGCACACGCTTTTTTTCTAATCTAATTATTTTCTCAGTAAAATTTACCTCTAACAAAACCAGTGTTGTCATTTCCAATGTACTCTCCTAAACCATCGAAACTCAAAACCCTCGAAATCCCCAATTTCCCCAATTCGCTCACAACTCTCCAGGAAATTTCTTCAGCAATGGCCGATGAATCCGAAACCCGAAACTGGCTGAAGCTTCCACGCGACGTGACGGCGGAAATTATTTCTCGTGTCGGGATCATTGGAATACTGGACAGCGTGCAGAAAGTCTGCACTCTGTGGAGAGACATCTGCAACGACCCCTCCATGTGGCGATCCGTTGACTTCCATGATGTGGGTCATTTGTGGTGCGACGTTCGCCAAAAAATGTGTATGCGTGCCGTCGATCTCAGCAAAGGCGATTTGGACTACATCAACATTGAGGATTTCGGAACTGATGATATTTTGGCCTATATAGCTGAAAGGTAAACCTTCTGAATCTTGATAATCATTTGAAGTTGCCTGTCATTTATTGATTCACATGATTAGTTTAATTTACAACTTTAATGATGCATAATTGTATGGTACTGTGAAACTACTGATTGTTAGGTTTAGGTTTAGGTTCTGTCTTTTAGATGATTTGTTGTTTCACTTTCTGCTGATTTTCTTTTTGGTGATTTGTTTTGGTGCTTTTCAAGATCAAGTCGTCTTCGACGCCTTCGGCTTGTATCTTGCTCTGATATTTCGGACGAGGGTTTAAGGGAAGCTATTTCTAAACTTAGCTTGCTGGAAGAACTAGAAATTTCATACTGTTATTTTTCACCAGCTTCTTTGGCGGTTGTTGGTAGTTGTTGTCCTCATTTGAAATCATTCAAGTTCAATAATCAGGATTATCAAGGATTCAACATCCGCAACCATTGTGATAAGGCTGCACTAGCTATTGCACAAACTATGCGCGAATTGCGCCACCTCCAGCTTTTTGGGAATAAATTGTCAAATTTTGGTTTGGTGGCAATTCTTGACGGTTGCTCTCACCTTGAATCCCTTGATTTGCGTCGTTGTTGGAATCTTACCCGACAAGGGGATTTGGAGAAAAGATGTGTTGAGCAGATCAAACATCTACGGGGACCAAATGATTCCACCCAAGACTACGAATTTTACGAGGCCTACCACAAATTTTATTCTTCTGATGAAGATGACCTATCTGGGCTTTCGGAGGCAGATTTAATGTCTGGTAGCGGCCATGATTATGATCTGGGGTTCTCAGATGGTGGTGACTACCCTTTTCCCTATTTTGATGATTTTTGGAGATGAAGCAGAAACTCACCTGGATGAGGAAACGAGGTTATGTAGATCTCTCCTTTTACGACATAACATATTGCTTCCCTCTTTTTCTTTTAATTACACGAACACAGGGCTTTTCATTGATGATAGCACTTGAGCTTGCAGGGGTATGTAAGATCTTCACATCCAAGCTCCAAGGGCATTCTCTATCAGTGTTTGAAGATAGCTAATGGTCGAATATTGGTTGACAGTATCATATAAGATGCTTCTGCAATGCAGGCTATTGAACTTTATTAGGCATATTTCTAAGTGAATCGTGAATTACACAACATTTTTTTTTTTTTTCTAATAGGTTATGTACCCCAGCATGTTTATTTTTTCATTTCAAGGCTGTGCATCTTCGTAACAGTTTTTGAGGCTCCTGAAACTACTATTGATGAGATCATCGTTTTGTTAGATGGCGGTTACGCTCTTGATGGGCTATAATGGGCTTTTGGTTGCTACTCAGGTCTTATGGGCTTTGGATCCATACCCATCTCTTTGTTGGAATCTAGAGGTGAGCGTTAAAGATACCAAACTGGCCCAACTAAATCCGATTTGATTCCAAAAATAATTCAGCAGTGCAAAATAGTAGGATCAAAAACCCATTTCTTTTTACGCCCCTATAGTCCTTTCTATTTTTTCCTTTTAATTTTTCTGATCCCTAGGCAGTGTTGCAGAAGGCTGGGGCGGCGCCTTTGCACAAGGCTGCACTCTGCCGCCTGCTTTGGCCTTTGGGCGGTGAAGCAGCCTTGCCCAATACAATAAAGCTGCACCCAGGGGTGCCTAGGCGTCATGGTGCGCTGCGTTTCAGTATTTCACGTAAGGCTGGGTATTTTAAACCGAACCAATGAGTTACTCGAAAATCAAATCGAAAAAATGAATTCGGTTTGATTTTAATAATTTTTGGTTTTTTTTTTTTTGATTTTGGTATTAATCAAATATATTTTGATTTGGTTTCAATTGAATCTTTTAAAAATTAAAAATCAAAAATAAGTTTTTTGAAAATTAAAATTAAAATAAATATGATAAAATATGTGATAAAATATAATATATTATTAAAAAATAATTAATTATTATTTATTTATAAAAAATCGAAACCGAATCGATTTATTTTTGATAATTTCAGTTTGGTTTCGATTCTCAAAATTAAAGAAAAAAATTTTGGTTATTTTAAAACCGGTTTCGATTTTAACCCAAAACCGGTTTTGCCCACCCCGAATTATTTTCACGCTCTTATCAACTGGGCGGTGCCTAACAGAGCCCGATCACCACTAGGCATCGCCCAAATGCTCAAGGGAACTCTGGGGTGTTTTTGGGTTTTACAGTCATCGCCCAAAATTGCAGGAGTTCTAAGGTTTTCTTTTTAACCAAAAAAAAAAGAAAAAAGGAAGAAGAACGATGCAGTTTTAGATAATTAAAAATAAATAAAAACCAAAAAAAAGGGGAAACCCTATTTGCCTCTCTTCAGTTTCGGTTCTTCTTCCTCTTCACTTCCACAGTTCATCTTCTCTTTTCAGCGACTCATTCATCTGATCTTCAGCCAATAATAAAAGAAAAAAAACCCTACACTTTTCTTTTTATTAGCTATAATTCTTGAACCCAGTTGTTCTCTTTCACTCAGTCATTCTTCTTCCCTTTCACTCCCTCCCACTGTCAACAAACACAAGACTTCAACCATGGTTCTCTTGCCAAGTGACTTTTCTTCGGTTCTTCCAGACTTTGGTAAATCACTAAATCAAATTCTTTGTTTCTTCTTCATCTCCTATCTTTCTTCAGTATTCTCTTCAGTTTTGTAAAATAGATTTTTTTTTTTCTTTTGTGAGGATGATGTAAATATTAAATTTTTTCCTAATTTTCCGAACTTTTTGGTATATTTTTGTAAAGAAATAAAAAAATAAAAGATAAAAAATGGTGCACTAATCCCCAAGGTGCCTAAGGCGCCGCCAAGGCTTTAGGCAGAGGGCTGGCGCTTCATGGCACCCAGCGCCTTCTACAACGTTGACCCCAGAGTCTGAACTTAAAGGCCGTAACCTCTAAGCTATGTCGTATTATGATTACTATTCTTTTCTTATGAATGCTATCATGATCAGTTTTGAAGATGGAGGAGGGAACTCACAAGGATGTGAGGAAACAAGGACGTTTCTTTTTCATGTTTTTTCTTCTTTCTCTCTCTCTATATGTATATTACTTTAATTTCATCCTTTGATAATGAAGAAACTTAGAAACATAAGATTTGAGGGTTTATATTGATGATTGCATTTGGGTTTTGCAAGTGTATAATATGTTTACACCCAAGCACCCATGGGCCATGGCACTTTTGTCTGCCGGTGTCTTTGGATAGCGAAAACCTTTTATGATGTTACACCAGGGCAGGCTAATCAAGTTGCACTTCTGAATTATGATTTACTATACTTTTACTTTATATGATGCATGTTTCCACTTTGTTTTTGAAGACCTTCTGGTTGTAAAAGGGTGAACAGGAAGTACAGCACTTTGGGGTTCATTGGCTCTTCCTTGCAGGATGTGCTTAGAATTACGACCTAAATTCTAATCTTAGGTTCCCTTTTTCCGAAAAAATTTTTCATTATTCAAAAAAAAAAAAAAAAGGTGAACAGGAGGTCCGGGTTAGAACACCAAACTGGGCACACCACCTCACCCCACTACTTTTTTTTTTTTCTCAGCAAAACAAATGATATATATTAATTAGGAGTATAAGAAATACCCCAAGATGAAATTACAACTATCAAGAAAAATGTTCAAATGAAATCACAAGAAATCACACTTGAAGCCTAGAACCAGCCTCCAGTATTTGACGATTTTAGCACATGAATCAGCAACAATTAAGTACAGAAAATCATCCCACATCTGGTTCTTATTTTGTTTTATTATTTATTTTATTTTTTTGCAAAACACCATTGTAGATGGTTCATTTTGTTGACTTTGAAAGGGTGTTTAGTAAAATTTAAAATTAAAATACTTATTTTAAAAGTATTATTTTTAAAAAAACTTAAAATTTTATTAGAGTAAAATTTAAAAATTAATTTTTAAACAATTTTAAAAACTAGGGAAAAGGAAACAAGGTTATGTAGACCTTTCCTTTTCCCCCATAACATATTTGCTTCCTTCTTTCTCTTTTAATTACACAAGTACATTATAGCAGGAGTTCGCAGGGGTACGTAAGATTTTCACATCAAAGCTCCAAGGGCATTCTCCATCAGTGTTTGAGAATAATTAATAGCCGAATATTGGTCAACAATATCCTATAAGATGCTACTGCAATGCATATTTGTAGGAGAATTCAAATTATAAAATAAGAACAATTGAATAAGGAGATTATCTTATTTATCGATTTAAATTATATAATATTTTTTTAAATTTTTAATAAGCTTTTTCTTTTTCTTTTTCTTTTTTTTCTTGGTTTCTCTAATAAGCTATTTACGCAGGCATGTTTATACTTTCATTTCAAGCTTGTGCTTCCTCAAAATGTTGTTTTTGAGGCTCCCAAAGCAAACCATTGATGATCCTTTTGTGTTGATAGACGGCAGTTACGATCTTGATGGGCTATAATGGGCTTTTTGGTTACTTTTATACACTCGGTCTCATGGGCTTTGGATCCATATCCATCTCTCTGTTAAAATCTTGGAGGTGAGCATTAACTTAACGAACTGGCTCAACTGAATCCAAAATTTTAGGAAAAATTTTGATTCCAAAAAATAATTCAGCACTGCAAAATGATAGTATCAAAAATAGATCCAATTTTCCCCCAACCCAGAATCGTCCCATTGCGATTTCCATCGCAGCCCAATACCTCTCTTTTCCAGCGAAATTTTGCAGGCCGTGGCAACCAAATCCAAACGCCGCAAGCGCAACTGGCTGGCTGGAACTGCCGCGCGATGTGACGGCTGCAATTTTCTCTCGCGTCGGGGCCATAGATATACTGAATAGCAATATTCATTTTTGAAGGCTGTACATTTTAGGAGGCTTTGGAGTCTTATTGTTAAACGGCACCTTCGATGTGTTTAAAATTGTTGTGAAATATTATAATTGTGATGGTAGATACGGTTATAAGTATAATTAAAAATTATTTTAATAATTAATTATTTAATTTTAAAAAAAATATTATAAATAAAAAAATAATATTTATTTATCTTATTTTTAAAAAATTAAGAAAAAATTTATTTTAAAATTATATTATTTCAATAAATTTTCATTGAAAAAAATTAAAATATCATATTTTTAAACAATAAATTAAAGTGTTTTTTATTTTTTCATGTAGTATTTTATTAAAATTACGTAGTTTTGGAATAGTTTTTCTTTTAATCTTTAAAAGATAAAACAGATAAATATTAATTTGTAAATAAAATATAATAAAATTTATTAATTATTAATTAA